ATGTTTACGTTGCTAAGAGTGGTTGCTAGGGGTGTTGTGTAGTGATACATAGAACCGGGTGAAGCCGTGTTTTATGGTGAATAAAACTATTGATCAATCAGAATCAAGGATTGGAACTAACCATTTTACCAAATACTAATAAAAGTGAAGTAGTGATATTTGGTCTGGGCTCTAATAAGATTGAGTCAGCTCTTAATTACATCTTTCCCAATATTCAACAGGTAGTAAAAAATCTGTGTGTTTACTTTGACTCTAATTTGAATTTTGAATATCATATAAGACTGTTCAATCTTGTTTTTATCAGAAATATTTCCAAGTTGAGACAGATTTTAAATTTTGCTTATTCATGCTTTTATTTCATCTCGCCTTTATTTCATATTTGCTTTTAAAGAAATCGTTTTTTTAAGGACTACACGGGTGACATCACCAACCCTAAAATTTGCATAAACCCTGCCCCCGGGAACGTGATTTATAGATTATCATGACAGAATATGCTAATCGATGACTTGAAGATAACTAAAGCTACATAAATTCATCAACTAACCATTCAGAAATGTCCTGTTGCATTCTACATGTCTCTTTTTAAGTCTCTTTTAAAAACGTATTTGTATAAATGTGCTTTTACTACTTTGTGAAGTATTTAGATTTTTTTTTTTTTTTTTTTTTTTTTATATGTATTATGTTCTTGGTTTTATATTTTGTTATGCTCTTCTTGTCTTTTTGCCTTTTAACACAACACTTTGTGCTAAGAAGCTTTAAAAGTGCTATATAAATAAAGTTATTTTAATTATGAAGACTTTTAAATTCCTTACCTTTGTGTTTTAGTTAGTTTAGAGGATTATACGTGAATTAGCCTTGGGTTTTGTTTTGTTCTTTTCTTTTCTTTCATTTGGTGCTGCTCGCATCCCTTTCCCATTGGGTTTATTTTTGATTTGTGTGGTTTGTAAATATTGTATGTATATTGTTTTCTCTTTTATTATTATACGTCTCACCTCTTGTATATTTATTTTCTTGTGTGTATAATAAAATCACTTCTTTTGGCATTATTTCGGTTTATGTTTTGCCTCTTGCCATCCCACAAAGAATTATCAGAAATTAAATGTTACCCCTTTCAAACCTAGATGAAGTCGGGGGTCATAATATTTAATGGGGGCTCATCCGAGATCATCATAAGATATCCCTGTAATTATCTGATAATTTGTGTGTGCATGGCGGTGGTAATTGATGCTACATTACATTCATGCGGAGTTGTATCATAGCGCTCATTTGCTAGTGAAACATTATGGCAATGTTTAGTTTGCAGAACTTTATTGTAAATCCAACACTATTAACAGATTAATTTATGTAGGAAGCAGGCATTGTTGTTGATAGCTGACCTCTATCCGATTTCTGTGAGTAGACAGACTCTTAAGCCGGGGACACACTTTTACTCACCCCCATGTCATCCAAGATGTCCATGTCTTTCTTTCTTCAGTCGAAAAGAAATTAAGGTTCTCTTTCGAGAGTATCTCTCGTACTGCGTAATAGCTTACGCTAGGGGAAAAACTCTTTTCCACGAGATATTGAAGCCAAAAATTATCTTTAATTTTTTATTAATGTAAAACGCTTTGCAGCAGCAAGCAGACATAGGCGAAACAGCTCGCGCGCCTATTGGTTGCTCTGCAGCAAATGCAGCAGCCTATCGAGAGAGACTCTGCGTGACGTAATGACCAATGGGGGCAATTCGCTCTGTGCACGAGAAAAATGCTAACTTCCGGCTTGAGGGCGGAAGTTGGGTACTTCGTTTCCGGTTGCCGTCTTGTTTACATCAGTGGACCGGCGTTAAGTTAGTTTAATCGTTCGTAATGGACCTAAAACATAAAAAAAAAAGATTTACTTTTCAAAGGGCAGTCGGTGGGAATAACCACCATTGCTGCGTGCCACTATGTACCGCCGGGGGGAGATTCAACACAACCTTGAGCTTCCATAGTTTCCCAAAGGAACTTAATTTACGCGCCCAGTGGCTTGTTACAATCAGAAGGGAAGGTTTCACCCCCACCACCAACTCTAGAGTGTGCAGTCGGCACTTTGAGCAAGAAGAGATAGTAATATCTTCTTCTGGAAAGCGTTGTCTTCGACCTAAGGCAGTTCCATCCTTGTTCGGTTGGAATAATTACACTAAAAAACCCCAGCGACCCGGAGTTTGGGAGCGCCGCCCTCGAGCAACCCAGGCTTTGGACCGCGCTCCAGAGGATGACTGCACCGTGGACATGGTGACTGAGGTGGATGAAAACACACCTGTCTCTGGTTGTGCTGAGTTGGCTCCGACACCCCTGATGCAAGACCACGATTACACAGGCAGCTCTTTCATCGTGGTCGACCGGATGAAATTTGAGAACATGTCAAGGCAGATCGAGGAGCTCACAAGGCAGCTCGAGTCACATCATTTGGAGAGATTTGGGTTGCAGCGGTTTGCCACATCACCTGATGACTTTCGGTACTATACCAGGTAAGAAATCAGAGAATTCACACTATCACATTTGGTGTATTTTCTTTTCTTTGTTCTTTAAATAATACATATTTTATTAATATATACATACATGTCACGGGACAGATCTATCCCTTCCAACAAAGTCAGCCTCATCTCCGCTGACGAGGCAATAAAAAACTTATCATCAGCAGCCGGTGATGTGATTAGCTTTAAAGTTGTATAATAGTTTGGCTAGTAAGGATTTTTACGGTTCCATACAATGCGTGTGTGGTGAGTGTCTGATGTGTGTGGATTGTGACTGTGTGTTTCAGTAAAGAAGAATAAAATATAATGAAGGAAATATAATTAACAGATCAAGAGAAAACAACGCTAGATTCCATGTTCACAACTTGAGAATGTTTTGATGTAATCTGAATGCCATCAATAGAAAAACGGTAACACTTTACAATACGGGTGCACAAATATGCATTAATTCATGTTTAACTAACGCACAGATAATCATGAGTTAATGTATGACTCATGAAGAACTAAACCATTAATTAATTATTACTGCATCAGCAACTAATAAAGAGTCTATATGATTAATAGATTAAGTAATACATGAATTGCTATTAATTCAATGTGTCATTGTGTATTAATTCCTTAATAACATATTTTATTATTGCACTAACAATGAAGTAATTAATCATGTATTCATGCATATTAGTGTACCTGTATTATCTGGAAGTTGAAATACAAGGCTTTGGCTCATTCTGGTAAGTAACATATTAATTAACACTATTAGTTAAAAAAAATGAGTTATTAGGGAATTAATCCACAATTACATATTTAATTAATAACAATTCATGTATGAACTAATACATTAACCATACAGACTCTTAATTAGTTCCTAATGTGGTAATCATTAATGAATAGCTTAGATAATCATTAGTTACACATTAATTCAGTATTATCTGTGCATTAGTTAAGCATGAATTAATGCTTATTAGTGCACCCGTATTGTAAAGTGTTACCAGAAAAACTATATGATATGTGCTGTTTGTATGCAGATTTCCATCATATGAGCATTTCATGGCCTTTTGGAATCTAATCCAAGAGGCAACGAGCAGAATGGTGAGAGTCACCAGTGGTCAGAAGAACCTTTCCACCAGTACATCCACTGAGAGCCCTATGAACAGATCAACAGTAAGTTCTACAATAATATACTACCAGCTTGGTCCATGTGAATTACACATTTTGCACTGTTAGCTGTGTTTTGTTTTTTGCTTGCTCTGGCACTCTTGTTGTCTGTGCAAGCGACTAAAGTTTACAAATTTTAGATTACATACACCCCCACATGCACTGCATATTTTAATCACCTTAGTTTGTGTATTTTATCTTTGTTGTATAGTGTTTCTATCTATTAATAATACGGTAACTATTTTCCCCAGAAATTGCTGCCAATTGACGAGCTCTTCCTCTTCCTTAACTATCTATCAACCGGCTGTACACAAAGGGAACTTGCTCACAAGTTCAACATCCACAGAGCTACAGTGAGTCGAATAGTTGTGACGTGGTCCAACTTTCTATATACTTTACTTGGATCTCTCTCGATATGGATGACAAGCGGATCAGTGAGAGCAAACTGCCCCACAGATTTCCATGGGACTTATGAAAACACCCAGGTCATCCTTGACTGCACAGAAATGAGGTGCCAAACCCCTACCTCCCTTCTGCTCCAAAGTGAGGTATTTTCCACATACAAGTCGCACTGTACATTCAAAGCGCTTATTGGCATGTCCCCCCATGGAGCATTGACATTTGTGTCAGCACTTTTTGAAGGCTCCATCAGTGACAAGGAGATTTTTCGTCACTCCGGCATCACCTCCCTCCTAACACCCGACATGGAAGTTATGGTAGACAAGGGATTTCTGATAGATGAGCTAGTTTCCGGGAAAGTGCATCGCCCAGCTTTTATGTCCAAACAGGATCAAATGTCTGAGGTGGACGTCCTTAAAACCCAGGCCATTGCACGTCTGAGAGTCCACGTCGAGAGGCTCATTAGGAGGGTCAAAGAGAACAAACTTTTTGACACGGTCATCCCTCTCTCCATTTGTGGGAATATAAACCAACTTTTTACTGTTGCATGTCTCCTCACTAATTATCAGTCCGGACCCCTGGTCAAGAAATGGATGGTCTGATTTTCTGGTGGATGGATTTCCTAATCCATTCTATAATGAACTTTGACACCACACTCTCCTGGCAAAATAAAGGTCAATAACACATCACAGGATGTTTAACAATACTCATATAGTTTTGGAAATGATTTGCTGTTACTCTGCGAATAAAACTGCTTTACTTTTACAGTGTTGTCTACAGCTTTGTTCTGTATTATCTGTTTTTGTGGGTTTCACAGTTGTAAAGCACTTTGGTCAACCTAAGCGTTGTTATAAGCTGCTTTATAAATACATTTTGATTTGATTTGATAGATTTTGTAAAAATGCAAAGACCATTTCTCTGTTCTTCAGAAAGCAAAAACACACAATAGATTTCAAGTGAACTGTATTTGACAAACTTCAATTTCATAAATGGTTAACATGAAAGTGTCACTGCCCTTCAATAACAATGCATACAAAGGCACAAATTAACATTTATAATATGAGAAATGATCAAGGTAAGTATGCAAGGTAATAACAGATTTAAAGGAGTCTTCTGTAAAAATGTGCCCAAAACTCAGGAATGACAAGCAACCAATTTACGCCACTGCCAGGTATTTGTCCATGTACACGTGAAAGTAGAACTTATCTATCCCACGCTTCATTTTTTCCATCACACTCTCATCCCTCTTTATTCTTTGTATGAAAACATCATCTTGAGCGGAGACGACATAATCACACCAACTCATACCGGTGACAAGTAGTTGGCCCTGAACTTGCCAATAATAGGCATGAGTTGGTTTGAGCTGCAATGAGCCATTGATGACCTTGAGATAAGGTGCATCTACATAATTTGGAATGTTTGGACATTTTATTTCCACAAGGCCAAACTGAGGCTGCTCCAAGGGGTCAAAAACAACCCCATCTGGTGAGGCACCAATCCATGGTGCATCCGGTTGTACCACAAACCCACATTTGTAGTGGTTCACACGTTTTATCTGGCAATATTCCCAGATCGCATCTGCCTCCAACTCCAAACCCCTCTTCATAGGCCCTGTCTGGTGAGTACCTCTTAGAATGCGTTCAGCAAGTCCCTCTTCAGAGGCCTTGCCCACATGGCAGATCTCTCTAAAACGAGATGCAGTCACCCGTGGTTTCCGTACATTGTACCAATCGGCACACAAACTCTGCTCTCGCGTAGCACATTCAATCTTCTGGGCCAATTCCAGGGTAACCTCGAGACTTTTCATGTGCAGCTGTTGCTTCCTGGAACAGACAAACATGCACTCTGATGGGTCAAGTCTGTAGCCTTGCAGTGGCAATGATGGAGGAGGTGGAGCATCATGAAGAGTCTTTGCTTTCTCTTTGGCAGGTTGCTGATAAGAAAGGGGACTTCCATGTTGCACCTTGCCGAACAGTGAGTCCACAAGTGGGATATCCTCACTTATTCCCATGCTGCAGATCATAGGGCGGTCAGCATCAGCAAAATCTTTGAACACCTCAGACACCCGAAGAACTGAGAGGTCAGGAAGTTCCCCATGAAGGCCTTTGTACAGTTTACTCCTGTATGTTAGAAAACACACACACACACACACTAAAAATCTGCAACATTGTAATACATTTTGCTTCAGGGTAAGAGCATTCTGGAAATAGATACAATAACCAGTACAGTGACAGGTCATCAGAATTAATAATAAAATTGAATTTCATGATTTAAAGTGTGCCTGCTTTGGCCAACTTAAAAGACACCTGCAGAAGGATTTGACACATTTTAAGTAGTATCATTCATTCATGAAATTGGTTGGACCTATAACTCACTAGATGTAAAACAAATAGAACCTACCTTGTAACAATAATAATTTCAGTTTCCCCCCACTGGTTTTAAATGCTATTGTCCAATGGAATGTTGTTTTCTGAAATCCCATAAATGGAGCACTTACCGCACTCCCTCTGTGGTCTTTCTTGTTTTCGGTTTGGCTGAGATCACAGCCATCTTGTCAACAGGGCCCGGCTTTATCCCCTATGTCAATATAGTGAAAAATAAATAGAGAATGTAGGCAAGTAGGATTTTTTTAATCCACTGTAAAGCAGGTACAATGTATTTATGAAAAGCGCTTTATAAATACAATTTGATTGATTGAACTCACCATAACTCTAGGCTTATGCCACTGTTGTTCACCTTCAGTGCAGCTTAATATTGGGGGAACAACTTGGAGTTTCAATTGCGAATAGTGTGCAGATTGAAACAGAAGAGCTACACAATGGTTGCATAAAGCTTTCCCAGCCTTGCAGGTGCAGCAGAAGTGCAGAAGTTGCACAGGCTGCAAATCTTTTAGGACAACCTATTAAGTAAAACATATCAATGTATTTAATGTAATCAATGCATATCCCTTGACAGTATTACTAATTTCTTTAAAAAAAGCCTGTCTGAACACCCCCTTGACATGATGACAGCCTGACATGATCCTAGAAAAAATAACAATACCCTACGTCCATCAATACCCTTCAGCCTAACAATACCCTACCCAACATTAGGCCTACTACTATTTGTATACTGAACATAATTTCACACTGCTGCTGACTGTAACCATACTCTGAGCTTATGAGGTTTCTCAGCTTTCCTCATGGACCTGAAGCACTCTGCCCTGACAACCACCTCTCCTGAGCCCTGATCTTTCTCAGACACTGCAGAAAAATAACAATATTAGCAAGTTAGCAATAGAATAACATGCAAGTTAGTTGGTAAGTATAATAATTAGCAACTGTAATAGGAACATATTGTTGTCAAGCTATCTAAAGCTTAGCTATCTAAATACATTTATCTAAAACTATGTTCGTTTGGTCAAGTCAATCAACATAGTTTTCACACATATTTGGGTGGAGCCAGGCGCTGCTGCATTGTGAAAAGTAAACAATGTTTCACATCTGCTTTTTGTCACCGCACTCAAGCAGTCGCTTTACAGAGTGGAGCGTTGCGTATCCATGACAACTAGACGGAAGTTTTTAGGCTACTAATTATTTATTATTATTATTATATTATACCCTTTAACCAGGAGAAACCCCTGGGGTTAGAACCTATTTTGCAAGGGAGACCTGTCTAGAAATGTGTGTGAAAACAGCCTAACTTGATAACGAACGAACCAACGTCGGATACCTTTACTCCCTGTATGACATGTGTAAAAGTGGTTGTCAACAACATAGCCTCCGAACATCATAAACAAAACAATGGCTAACACAAACTGTTCGGGAAAATGCACTATCTAACGCATGATTTCGACTAAATAGAAGTATACTGTATAAAGAGATATAACATAACAGTTACCAGATAGCATAGCTTGAGCACGTAGCATGGATGTTGTTGTGACTTACCTTCAAAATTATGCAAATACTGAGAGATGTAATATTTAAACCCCTTCTCTCTCTTGCTCTGGGGAGCTGGAGAAAAATCACTAACCAGTCGATGAACATCATCGACAGTAATATTCGGCAAATGTCCAAGACATCTGGAGAAATATACATCCTCTACGTCGTCCATCAGGCTACCGGAAACTAGACACCCCCTATCGGTTTCGCAGCCGGAAGTAGCATAAGCTAACGTGCACATAGTCTATTCGCGCCCATATCGTCACGTCCCGCCAGAAGGGGCGTGGTCTCACCCTATAAATATGCTCGTTAGGCTGGTACAAGCTGATTTTTATCTCTTCAGCGACGCACACGCATCGCTGGATCCGGAGTGAGAAGCCGCGCCGTCGAAGCAAGCCTTTCAGCGGGACGAGCTCTGGAGTCGCTGGCCTCGCCGCCTTCAACTGCCGTACCTGCTGTGCTTTCCGGCGTTCTATATCCTTTTATACTCTGTGTGTATTTACTCTGTTGAGAGTGTTTGCTCGCTTACTTGACGCGACTCACACTTCTCTCACAAAAGAGCTGCGTCTTTTTAAAGATGCCTTCCTGTGGCTCGTGCCGCGCCCCGCTCAGCGATGGAGACCGGCACGTCATCTGTGTTTCCTGCCTGGGTGAGGATCACGCGGCTCTCGCGCTCGCTGACGGCGGATGCCCTCATTGCGAGCTTTTGCCTATGGTGACTCTGAGGACTCGCCTGGCATCATTCTCCGAGCCTTCACCGCAGCCCGCCGTGGTGCCGCGCCGCAAGAAGCGCCGCGCCCAGCGCGCTCCCGAGCTTTCTCCAGCCCGCCAAAGCTCGCCGGTTCGCCCGCCAGCTTCGCCGGCTTCGCTCGAGTCGCTCACTGACGGACAACGGCCGCCGCCTGCCGCCGCGTCCATCCACGAGTTTGACGACCCCACCGAGGCGTGTTCTCTTCTGGCATCCGATAGCGAGGATTGGGCGAGCTCCGTGGACCTCCCCTCCGCTAGCGTTTCCCGCCAGACCACTGGTAAGAGAGCCGGCATTGAGACTGAGCTGATGCGTCTGCTCTCTCAGGCCGTGGAAAGCATCGGCCTCGATTGGGAAGCGCCCGCGCAACCGCCGCGCAACAGGCGAGCTCTGTGGACCTCCGCCTTCTGTCCGCGAGTCGTCAAGGAAACGGGCCAGCATCAAGACCGCGAGCCCTAAAACCGCGGCTAGCTTTCTTTACGTTATAAGAAATCTACCCCGCCCCCCATGGGCGTGCGTCACCGGCAAATGAGAAAAGAGTGTGTTTTTAGTCCCCGCCGAGGCCGGACTAATCTCCATTTCTTAAACATTTCTCAGCTCCTAGTTTGTGCGGCTGAAAATGTCATTATTGCAGCAATGAGCCTGTTGTATAACACGCACACCTGCATACAAACGCCGACACACACAAAACTGTGATGACGCTCTCTTATCTGCTTGCGCTAGTGTAGTTCTCCCTGTGGCCCAGTGGCGGAACCCGAAGCTTTCACGCGAGAGACCCGTGTTCGATACCGGCTCTTGCAGCAGATACAAATTTAGTCTCGCCGCGGCCAGACTTCCACCAAAAACTTTTCGCTCGTTCAGTTCCAGAAAATGCGACTGTTCCAGTGTATTTTGCAGTAAACAAGCTGGTACCACGGCCCGCTTGCCTGCACATAAAGGCCGTTTCCATGGCGACCCAGAAAAATCATGTAATCATTGTATTTCTGGTTTTCCGGCCACATCCGATGGTGTTATAAGTGTAATAAAATGCTCACAGCCCAGTGTTCATTTCTACACACAAACACAGCCCGCCACGGTACAGGGCTCGCACAAATGAAATCGACGCATGTCAATTGTGCATTAAATGTAGTAAATGTGCCCACAACCCAGTGCCCACAAACACTACCACGGTTTCTGTAAAACGAAACCAACACAAGTCTTCCTAGCCTCCTAGGAAATCGACGGTGTTTCAGTCTCGCCGTGGCCAGACTTCCACTGAAATTTTCGCTCGTTCAGTTCCAGAAAATGTGACTGTTCCAGTGTATTTTGCAGTAAGCAAGCCAGTACCATGCCCGCTTGCCTGCACACAAATGCTGTTCCCACGGCGACCCAGATAAATCACATAAATGGTGTATTTTCTGGTATTCCGGCCACAGCCGATGGTGTTATGAGTGTATTGAAAATGCCTACAACCCAGGGCTCATTTCTACACACAAACACAGCCCGCAAAAATGCAGGGCTCGCACAAACAAAATCGCCTCATGTCGATTGTGCACTAAATGTAGTGAATGTGCCTACGTCTCAGTGCCCACAAACACTACACACCACATGTCCCACGGGTTCTGTGAAAACGAAACCAACACGCATTCAGTCAGCTCAGGCCGACGGTGTTTTTCAGTGCAGTAAATGTGCCCGCTGTCCTGCGCCCACATTCACTCACAGACATGTTAAGCCCCACGGGGCTCGCCCCGCTCTCTCTCCCTCAGCAAACTGCTATAAGGGTTTTGAGCGCGGCCAGGCTGCCCGCCGCGATCGGCGCGCCCCCCGCCTCACACACTGTAAACACAGTGTCTGCGTTACAGCACGCCGGAGCTCTCTTGCCGTCACTATGTCTCGGCCAGAGCCCAGATCTCATTCTACCCCTAGCTATTCACGCGAAAGTGTGGGCACAGCTTCCTGGGGTATCAGAATGGGTGCTGAACACTATAAATAGAGGCTATTCGCTACAGTTCGCTCGACGTCCCCGCCGTTATACGGCGCGCGTCGAGACGACGGTGGAAAACGAAGTATCTCATCTACTTCGAGCCGAGATAGCGAAACTACTGAGCAAAGGTGCTATAGAACCTTTATCTCAAGCTCAGAGCAAAGGGGGCCTACTCAGCAGATATTTTCTGGTACCGAAAAAAGATGGAGGTCTCAGACCCATTTTAGATCTGCGACAGCTGAACAGAGCGCTTGTGAAGCGCCAGTTCAGAATGCTTACGACCAGGAAAATCCTCGCGCAAGTGCGCCACGGGGACTGGTTTATGTCAATAGATCTGAAAGACGCCTATTTCCAAATACAAATGGCGTCCCATCACAGGCGATTCTTGAGATTCGCTTTCGAGGGCCAGGCATATCAATACACAGTCCTGCCGTTCGGCCTGTCCCTAGCACCTCGTACATTTACGAAGTGCATGGACGCGGCGCTCGCACCCCTGAGACTTCAGGGCATGCGAGTCCTGAACTACTTGGACGATTGGCTGATTCTAGCTCGATCACGATCGGAGCTCATAGAACACAGGGCCGCATTACTCGAGCACCTCGAGGAGCTGGGCCTCACAGTCAATTGGGCGAAGAGCTCACTGTCTCCGAGTCAGAAAATTTCCTTTCTGGGAACCGTGTTGGACTCGCTGTCCATGACAGCACGCCTGTCACCAGAGCGCGGGCTAAATATTCAGCGCGGCGCGAAATCCTTCCGCCACGGCGCGATAGTTCCGCTCAAAAGGTTTCAGAAAATGCTGGGGCTGATGGCCTCAGCAGCCTCTGTACTCCAGTTGGGCTTGCTCCGCATGCGCCCACTGCAGATGTGGCTGAAAGCGCGGGTTCCACCCAGGGCATGGACAGCGGGTCTGTTTCGCCTCAGGGTCGACCTTCAGTGTGTTTCAGCTCTGGAACCTTGGAAAATAACCGACTGGTATCAGTCAGGTGTGAGTCTGGGGACCGCTTCGAGTGTGAAGGTGGTGTCTACGGACGCCTCCACCACGGGGTGGGGAGCGCTGCTCGAGGGCAGACCGCTAGCTGGCCTGTGGTCAGAACGGGAAAAGCTCCTTCACATAAACTGCTCGGAGATGATAGCAGTCGACAAAGCGCTACGGCGTTTTTGTCCCCAGGTAACAGGCCACCACGTCTTGGTCCGGTCGGACAACATGTCAGTGGTGGCATACATAAATCGCCAGGGCGGCGTCAGGTCACGAAACCTTCACAGGCTGACGGAACGCCTCCTGGTCTGGGCTCAGCACAACCTGCTCTCACTGAGAGCAGCGCACGTGCCTGGTCACCTGAATGTGGGACCAGACAGACTGTCCAGGAACAATGTTCCAGCAGGGGAATGGTCGCTGCACCCGCAGACGGTCCAGCTGCTGTGGAAAACGTTCGGCAGAGCACAGGTGGACCTATTCGCATCCCACGAAAACGCTCATTGTCCGGAGTTTTTCTCGAAAAGCAAGGACGCGCTGGCTCATGTTTGGCCCCGCTGCCCCCTATATGCTTTTCCTCCTGTCTCGCTCCTGCCTCAGGTGTTGGAACGAATCAGGGAGAACGGATGCCCAGTGCTGCTCGTAGCTCCGCTCTGGACAAACCAGACGTGGTTCCCTGCCCTGATGCAGCTGACCAGCACTGCCCCATGGCCTGTACCATTGAGGAGAGACCTCCTCTCTCAGGCGGAGGGCTCGATTTGGCACCCTCGCCCGGAGTTGTGGTCCCTGCACGCATGGGCCATCAACGGGTACCCGCTAGCCTCCCAGAAAGAGTGTTAAACACGATCGCGCAGGCTAGAGCTCCGTCTACCAGGCGGCTCTACTCCTCGAAATGGTCTGTTTTCTCTGCATGGTGTCAAGCCCAGAGCTTTTCACCTGTGGAATGCGGGGTTTCGGAAGTGCTTTCCTTCCTTCAAGAGCTACTGGATAAGGGCAGGACCCCATCCACGCTCAAAGTATATGTGGCGGCCATAGCAACGTTTGCAAAACCGGTGTCTGGCCAGTCGCTGGGGAAAAACGACTTAGTCGTGCGTTTCCTTAGGGGAGCTCGGAGGCTGAACCCTCCCAGGCCCCTTTCAGTCCCGACGTGGGACCTTTCCACGGTCCTGGAGGCCATGAAAGGCGCGCCCCGTTCGAGCCAATCCAGCTGGTGGACATGAAACACC